AAATGGGAAAAACTAAACTCTTAGTATCAATACTTTATATCAGGAAATACTGTCTTAACAAATCCTCCCAGGTTTACTTCTGGCATAAATTCAAGTATCATACATATCTTTTCTAATAGACAAATTGATAAAAAATCCATCTTTTAAGCCATGTCCCCCAAGGCTCAATTTTTAGAAGTCTGCCTTTTCAGACTGTTGTTCTTTCTTTTGATTTGAGAAATATCCAGATTTCTTGCCTTTCTCAATTTTCTAGAGATGAGCTAAGCTTATTTTACTCAGAGATTATTTCTATTTTAATTGATTCACAGTTCTATATCAGAGCACGACTTTGAAAGCAAGAACTTTTGGATACAGTTGTCACTCATACTATGAAAGAATCTTTCTACACAGATAAACTATATAAAATCAATATTAAACACCACCCATCACAACAGGGTAAAGGGTACCATATAAAGAACAAGATCTCTTCTAAAGTTTCCTGAAATTGATAGTTTTCCAAGGTGTACTGGTACCAGCCACCAGGAATTTCATTACTGATACTTTACTACATCACCAAAATCTGCACATTCTTCACTCCAGCCCACATCGTTAGCATTGTTACTTGCTATCATTGTCCCTTGTCTCTTGTCAAATTCAATTGTTATCTACACAAATTGCCAGATGTAAATGTGAAATCGCCTCAAAAGTTTAACATCACTCACTATTTTTAATAAACATAGCATCCACAACTAACAGAAATCTGTCTGTGGTAAAGAATCTCCTTAATTTGACTCTGTTTTAATATATAATATTAAAGAAATCTCAAAGCTGTTTTATGGACAACTACATCCAACAACAGAAAGGAACATGAGATATTGTAATAAAAGTATGAATAAATGATTTCCAAGTCTCACGTTCCTACCCCCAGGTATATATTTGAAGGCAATTACTTTTGAAAACTTTGTAGAATTTTTATTGAACGTATTCTCAAAGTTTTTATGTTTTAATTTTTTCTCTTTAAATCTCTATTCTTATGCTTGCTTCCATTCAGCACACAAATCAGAATCAAAGTTTTAAATAGACCTAGTGTTTTATACCCATAATTAAACTGAGAATGGATAGTCTGCAAACTATCTGAATAAAGCAATAGCTGATAAACCATATTATTTTAATTTTAGAAAATGGATGTATTATTTTGTGATTAAAAAGTCAACTTATACTTACTATACATGGAACATCCCAAAGAGTCACATCTTTAAAATAAAATCGCAACTTAGCCTGCTTTCCTAGTAAATAATTTTAAAAAATAAAAAAAAATACACAGATCTTTAGCTTTAAAAGCATACCTATCACAGTAACTATTATATTGCATAAAGTGCATTTCCACTGATTACTTTTTGAAACTATATAAATTCTTACAAATATTTATACATTAAATGTTAAATAAAATACCTTAGGTAACATTCACATGGAGTAAAATTATTCTATTTCAATAGTAGATTAAACAGCTACTTGGAGTTTCAAAAAGAATACCAGCTTGAAAGCAATGTTCTCATGGATTTTTCCATTATTTAAAAGTTATATCAAGTAGAGAGAATGTATTTTCCTTCCTGGCAAAAGATAACTAGTAAACAAATTTGAGATTTAAAATTTATGTTAACATTAAGTTAAGCTTAAATATATGCAGTGCAACAATCATTTTATATAATAGTGACTTTAAAAATTATGAAAAAATGTAAAATTTATATTAACATATGTCCTAAAAGGATATCATTGCTTTCACAAAATTAATAAATATTTTGAGCACCTACTATGTGCCAAACACTGAACTGGATACTTTAAAAGACTAAACCATTTTAGAAGAATTAAATATACTAGACAATTAATGCTCCTTTTAACAGAATGGGGGGAAAAAAACAGTAATTTTCCTGCTCTTCCAAATATTATAATTGAATTTAATAGCATAAACATTTATACAAGGAGTAAATATTTTTAGAGGCCAAGTGTTCATATTCATTCTTTATCCACTACAATCATGTATATCAACTTTGAATAGCATTATGATCTGGCCTCATTAGACTAAAATGCTTATGAAGATAGATATATGGTTTGAGGAGCTTCAGATTTATTTTACAGATACACATATACATGTCCTCCCATGATAACACATTAGAATGAATTCATAAATCATTCTTTTGGGGCTTTTTTCTCTACAAAGCTTCAAATAAAAAGTGAAGTGTGAAAAAGCAACAAATATTTCCATGTGCTTCATGCTTTAAGAATTTAAGTAAAAATCTTAAAGACCATTTTCTTGTTTGATACCAAGACAAAATGTTTGCGAATACTATGTAAAAGCTTCTATCTTACTGTGATACCAATTGGCACACCATCTTTACATGAAATGTAGAGTAGAATTCAGACCAAAAAATATTAAATGAGATTAAGATTGAAACCTTACAATGGTAAAAGCCACAATTTACAATGAACACATAACAATTATGTATGCTTATGGACCAAATAACATAGCAAAAAAAAAATAAAAAAAAAAAAAAAAAAAAAAAAAAAAAAAAGGCTTTCCTTGAAATGGAATCCTAAAGAAGTAGAAAGGCCTTATGTGAATTTAAATCTAGCCCTTTTTGTGGATGAGACAACTGAAGACCAGGCAAGCTGTGTGACAGGTCCATTGTCATAGTTCACAACACTATCTGTACTCAAAATTAGATTTTCCAGTCTTACTCCAAAGTTCTTTCCACCACAGGATATACTCTCTCTCCCTAAGTATCATGTAATTGAGGGACAAAATGAAATTTAAGATTTTTCTGTATAGCGGCCTCAATTCTCTAATTTTCTTTGTCTTAGTAAACACCAAAGCTTATATAAATAACAGTTATGAAAAAAGTAGATGAAACTGAATACATAATCATTCTATTTAATTCCTGTATAGTTATCTGTAGAAGAATCCAGGATATACGTTTTATCATGATATATTTCTTTTACAAAGAAAAAGATTTTTTCCTCATTATCTGCTTCTGACAGAATAGTAGGCATGAAATTCATTCATTGTCTTGTAGTCCAAAAACTAATGGACCATTTGGCAGATGTATAAAATATATTTTAAATAAGTAATTTTTAGTTTATCTTGAGACTTGTTTGAACCAGTTCTTGAAATTGACTACACTAGCTTAGAGAGACAAATGTAGACTTCAAACAATTAATACTCATTCCTGTATTGAATACAAATTTTAAAAACAAAATTGCAAAAAAAAAAAAATGCCAATTTTCCAATTAAATGTATCATTTTTATAAAAATAATCTTTTCAGCAAAAGTGTTTCCAAAAAGCACACATTTCATTCAAGTTTACAAATAGACACTACTTTCAAATTATGCCATTATGTCACTATTGTAACATAATTTGTCAACTTTTAAAAAAGCATATTATAATATAAATTGGATTTGAACCGAAAACATAGTAATAATATATTACATCAATATGTCTTTTTTAGTTTGGAATTTAATTGAATGATATTCAATATTGGCTTTAAATTAATAAAATAAATGCAATAACCCTTATTTAAAATCCTGTGAACTGCATGTTTTAGAACTCAGAGGTTTTCAACTTCTAGTTCTAGTTTGGTCTGGTATATATGCATATATCTTAAAATACTATGAGTCTCAAAGGGCTTTTCCACAAACAAAGCAAATGAAATATTGTCTTTACCCTTGCATATATATTACAATGTTTTAACTGGGTGGAAAATCAGACTGCCTTGCTTAGCTCAACAGAACTCAGAACTCACAAAATATACTTAGTAACAAATTTTTAAGCTGGTCAACAATACAAACATGCAGATACACTGATTTTATTGTTAGGCTGCACTCAAGAAACTCAACGAATTACTGGGTAATAAACACATTTTGAGAAATTTAAAATTTTGTAGTGTATCTTTTTTAGCTTATGTTTTTTGGATGAACTGCAGTGTTTCTGCAACTAAAATGTTTATTTTATACACTCATGTAAAATGTTTTCCAGACTTAAATGCAAGACTTATAAGTCATGATTTTAAAAATCTGAAAACATTTAAAAAACAAATTGTACTACAAAACCATTTGCTTAAAATCTATTTAGCACTTGTGTTTATAGTTGTATAGCTACCAATAACTAAATTCAATAGCTAAATGAAATAATTTGTCTTTAAATATTCTGATGTCATTATTATATTTTTCCTTCTTACTGAAAATATATCCAAAAGAAATTTACTTTTAAAAAGTAAGTCTCCTATGCCAAATATACTACTTTCCAACATGGTAAGAACATCATTCTGTCATTTCTGTGATACAATGGTAGCTGCACCTGTACAGAATTGACAAGATGGTGAACAATTGTGATGGCCTTATGCTGTCTTTCCTTCTGTGTCCTTAGTACTTCTTTTCTGTCCTATAAAACACAAAAATGTTTCCCAATATATCCATCATCTCTACCTTCATTGTCTATTTTTATATTTGAAAATTTATCATTACTAATATGGAATATAATAAGACAAAAATTGATAATAGGGTTTGTGGAATATTCCTTCCATCAAAATGCTACTTCGTCATTGCTTGCCTTTGCTTGGACTTTCACTGGGATCCCTGTTCTGGCTCTAGATTGGCACTGCGGTGACACCAAGAACCACATCATTCTAGGGCTCACAATGGCCCCAGAGAAAGTTCATGGGGTTGTCATGATGCTCTATGGATTTTTAACCATGAATACCACCACTGCCTGCAATTCTATTCAAGCAACAACATCAGAACAGGATTCACAAATACAAAGAATGAAATAAGCAAATTTTTTGAAAAATGCAGTTTCTATAAAACTACTTACTTGAGACTCAGTAGCAAATGATCATTCAAGATGGTGTTTCTTATACTTATTAATGAATATTACAGTAGAAAGTTGACCTTTTATAGACATTATATAAATTTCAGTGGGCAACCTAAAATCTTCCATCTATACATCATAAATTATGTCCATAGATTCTGAGTATTTAGGCAGGCTTTATTAAAGCAAAACTAGTGGACAAAAGTAATTTTCACAATTTGTCTCCCTGCTCCTTTACTATGCCCTCAGTATTGTCAAATGGACAATCTAAGCTGAATCCATGTTCTCTTTTTTCCAGGAAGACTTTCTATCACCTTTGTAAAGCAAAACAAATATTAGAAAAGGCTGCTTACCCTTCTAGTATTTGGACATCAATGGAAAAGCCATCCAAAAATTATGATTACTTAATACTACTTGGATCTAGCATGAAAAGCACAAACAAGAGTTTTATGCTTTTTTAATCTTGGCTATAACAGTGACAAGGCAAAAGCAATAATTGACTAGTGGTGATGTAGTTTAACATTATTTTTTTCTGGGAAGAAAAAAGCTGCCTTGTAACAAGAAAAATTAACTCCAGTAATTTCAATTTAATAAAGTTTTAATTTTTCCTACTTTCTTATCTTAAAAGGTCTGATGATGGAACATTCCCCCCCCCCAAACTTAAATAAGAACCAGTTCAGTCAGACTGACACCTAATGGAAACTTTCATAGGAAAATAATTCTGCAAAGGAAAGGAAGCAATGAGGTAAGTATTTAAACAAAAACAATCAAAATACTTTCTGTTAACTATGAGTAGAGGTTTCCTTTAGATTTCATCACTAGCATTTATTTGCAATTATTCTATTCTAAACATTATTATTCTTCCATGAAGCAACTGCAATAAATTTGCAAAAAACTGAATAGAATAGCTTATATTTCAAAAGTTCTTCCTCATCCCCTCAACAAATGCCAGATTACTACATCTTCTGCTTCTCACAAACTGTCACCAGGCCTTCGGCTCTCTTTCCTCCTTTCAAATCCTAAACACTTATTATTTAGCCAACCAGCATGAGGCCAACTTTCCAGAGACCACCTAAGAACTAGAGTATGTAGCTTCTCTCTACTTTTCTAATTTCCCAATGAAACAATGCCACCAGTAGACATATTGCATTTTGTCAAACACATAACAAGCACAATATTTAAAAGCCCCAAATCACCAACTGGTGGATCCCTAGAGAAAGAAGGTAATTCATGGAACAATGAAGGAAAGAACAGGAGTTACATATTCTCTTGCTGATGATAAAATGTCGAATGCGAAGACAGCATCTGTGTTTTCTTTCCTACTTCAACTAATTCTTAAAATGGACTCGCCCCCGGGAGCTTCCGAGAAGGGCTCCACCCGTTTTCCCTGCAGACAACAACGTTCACTGAGCGCAAAAGCTCTGAGTAGAGATAACCTGGGAGTAATTGTGGGATCAGACACAATGGAGTGGGATTAGGGGTAGGGAGAGGGTGTGTGTGGAGTACCCTTCACTGGGAATCCTAAATGTTAGAAGAAAGGCGAAACCCTAGATGGTGAAGCATGAAAGTGTGCCTGCCTCCTTGAAGTCACCTCGGTGTCAGTCTCTCCAGGGTTCAGACTGCTCTTGTGGCAAGAGCCCAGTGGGGCACATTCACTTCGTGCCTGGGAAAGGCCTGTCCTCCAGGGGGAGAAGGTAAGCTCAGCTTAGAGCGGTCCCAGAGCGACGAGAGGGAGAGCTTCTCAGGCCTCTAAGTTTAAGATTTTTCTCCTGCAGTTTCCACTTATCAGGAATTTAGTCTTCTTGCGCAGCCCGTGCATAACCAACGATCACCACGCAGGGAGGAAACCTGCTTAGTGTTTGGCCGCGCTAGTGGAATCTTCTGTGCGCCCGGTACGTTCTAGTCCCCAGCACTCAGTTCTCCCACCTTTGAAGCGCCTCGATGGGACGGTCCCAGATGGCTCACAAGAGGGAAAGGCCAGGTGCAAAGGTGGCAAAGCTGTGTGGTCCGACGCCGGGAGAGCTGAGACCTGGAGCCCTGGCCCACGCCTTCCACTCCGGGTCATCCTTCCAGCCCCATCTTGGACATGCCAACTCCTGCCAAGTCCGATTGTCCCCAGGCTCCCCAGGATTGTCCCCAAGAGTGCATGTTTGAGGGGGTTGGTGGCCATGGCTTCCTCTTCTCTAGGAGGTGAAAAATCCGTGCTGTTTCATCGTCCATTAATATTTGGAACAAACAAACAAACACAGAAAAACTCGAAGTAGAAGGAGGGAGAGGTTCTCTCTTGCTCCCGTCCCTTCGCAGCTGACCTGAGAGGGGGACGTGCCTTGAGTTTGTTGATGTTTGAGACTCGTCCTAAAGGCAGAGGCAGGGAAGACAGCGCTGAAGAGGTGTCCCAAAGAGACTGGACGTCTGAACAGTCACTGCCTGCCCCAACCTCTTTCAAGAAGGTTCCAGGTTTGTGCCACACTGCAGCCAATCCGGTTCCCATCCTGTTTCTCCACCCCTTCTCGGAGAATCGGAAAAGAAAATATGCGTTCCTGAGAGACCCGCCACACTTCCGATCTGGAAGTTCCGCGGGGACCCAGCCCCCAGGCCCCCGCCCCTTCCCCAGCTTGGCGGCCAAGTGCGACTGCTAAGCGGCGCGGCCGGCCGGGGGTGGGGCTTTGGCACCGCCCCGGGCCCGGGATTCGCGAAGTCACGCGCTTCCGCAGGCTTTCGGGGGCACCTTCGCCCACGGACACGCCCTTTCTGTGGAGGCCGCCCACGGCGACCCTCTGCCCAGCTTCGGCGCCTCACTCGCGACGTTCCCAAACTGCTCAAGGCCTTTCAGTCATTCCCAACTTCAGAAAATCGCCCCGTCCGCGTCTCTCCCCCCAGCCGCACCCCACCGTGGGGAGGAGAGGAGCGGGCGGGGAGGGCGGAATCGCCCCGCAGGACCCCCTTCCTCTCCCCGCCCATCTCCTGCCCCTCGCCCCCCGCCCCCTGCACGAACCCATTTTACAGTCCTGGTCACCGGAGGCGCGGCGCACAGCCTTTCTGGTGGAACCAGTGCGAAAACACCCGAGGAAAGGAAAAGAACAAGAAAGTGCTACCTTGGCAACCACGGGCGTTTAGTGGCCAGCTGGTGGGCTGGGGAGGGCGACCGCTGCCCCCCTGCCGCTGGTACTCTCCTCGACTACGCGTATTCTTAAGCAATAACAACGTAATCCGTATTATCCACCCAAGAATACCCGTCACCGAAGAGAGTCAGAGGACCAGGCTGCCGCTGCCGCTGCTACCGCTGCCGCTGCTACTGCCGCCGCCGCCGCCACCAGAACTCTTGCTGCTCGCTGAGCCCGCCCCTGGCTGGGGATGGGCTGAGCTTGACCGGGACCATAAATCCATAACTCGATTTCCCTAAAGAAGGATCCAAAGCTGTGCTCGGCTGCTTCCTGCCCAAATCCAAATGGCCGCTCTATTTCCAATTCTGAAAGACAAATCACAAAACCAAATACTTAACACAGAAGAAGAGTGCTGTCTTCCCAGTGAGGAGGGAAGATGTGGCAAGGCTCTTTGGGCACAAGTGGGAGTGACAAGTAGCCTTCAGTTTACCTGGTGCTCTCCCAGTGCCTTCCTCTGCACTTCTCTGCTTGGTACCCAGTCTGGTCTCGGCCAGTCCATTCTAGGTGGTTTGATTGAGTGCCATGGCAGCCAGAGAACCCTGTAAGAGACATGCATAGTTAACCACACAAACATTACAAATATATTTACCTAGACAGCTTTAAGAAGAAGTGAGGCTTAAATAAAGACAGGGTCATGCATGGGTAAAATTTTCAGTAGTATGTTTTGGAAATGCATTTTCTCAAGCTCAAGATCACAGCAAATAAACACTCAATCAGTTTACTACGTGAAATCAAATACTTATAGATCTACAAAAATAGGCATCTTTCCTTTGAAGGCCTTAGAGCTATACAACATAATGATTTTTAAAGAAAATAAAAGCTGCAAGGCACAAAATAATTAAACCCATTTTCCATGGTATCAAAACTCACTGAGTTGACAAGCTGGTAGAGTTTCTATGATTTAAGCATCATTTTATATCACCACAATGTTTAATTTCATGGCACACCTTTAAAATATATACTATAAATGCATTGCTGTACAGCTGTTGTGAACACCTCTACAGAAAAACCTTTGAAGCTCTGTGTTCATGAAAATTATTTTAAGAAGAAAAAAACAATAAAAACTCATTTGCAAAGTGACTGTAATTTTGGCATTCAGAGAGACTATCTTTGTGATTCTTTGATGATCAATATGGCTCTTACTGGAAAAGCTTTGTCTTAAGATCCTGCAGTGGATATTCTGATAATAAGGGTTTATTGTTCACTAAATAAAATGGACAAGTGCAACGTCACTACCCAAGACATGGTGTAGCTTCATTAGAAAGTTCTCAATTTGCTTTTCCCTTTACTCTCAAATACATGAAAGTACATCCATGTGAGGGGAATGGGGGGGGGAATATGGAAACATGGCAATAGACATTATGATTTCTCAAATTATGTAAGTGCAAATAGCTCTTCATCAAGGAGTAATTATGTAACAGAATCTCTCCCACTACCACAACTCATCTCTAACTGACCTGGTTGCAATTTAAGACACTTAGGTTGTGCTTGCTCTTATCTTTTTGTAAGTATAATACACACCAACTCATCATTTTTTTGACATGTTACTTACAGATAGAAAAATCAACATGAATTCTAGGTTTTATGAACAGATGTTTAATACATAATGCTTGAACCTAAAATAACTAGAAAGAAAACCAGTATAGCCCAACTACCACACTCTTTTACATTATTTTCAGATAACTCTTAAGTACACCACTTACAAAAAGACAGATTCCAATAAAACAAATAAATAAACACTATTTTCTGCTGTTACCTAACATAGCTATAAAGTGGAGCTTTCCTCTGGTGCTAGATCCAAAAAAAAAAAAAAAAAAAAATCCAAGAAAGCTGACAGGTTCTTTTCAGCTTGAACTCCTAGAAACAAAAGCCCTTAGGGAAAGTAATGCAATAGTCTATGAGCAAAGTATACATTTGCTTCTGCACTGTTCTATTTAAATATCAACTAATATTAAAAGGAAAACAAAAAACACATACAGATAGGCTTGGATTTACTAATTGGAACGTTTTAAATTCAAAAGGATGGTCAAGGCGCACACACACACACACACACACACACACACACCCCCAATACACAGGGCATCAGAATCACAGCATAAATACCCACACAGCTTTTCAATGCTTTCCAAGTAGTCTTCTTTAGTTTTGCTTCCTCGCAATTAAAATAAAATACACACACGCACTGACCCACAGACTCACACGCTTTAAAAAACTAGAACAACGCAGTTGATCTGCTATCTTCCTACCCAAGTAGCAGTGCCAGCCTTTTCCCTACCTACCCAATGTTCCACCAGCTTCAGCACCTGGACGAGTGGACAGCTCAACCCGGGCAGACTGCCGGCAGCACTCGCAGCAGAACTGACGCTCTGAGCTCTAACCAAAGCTCTCTCGTGCTTCAGCGGGGCAGCCTGACTTACGAGAACACCATTTCCTACGAGACCACTGCCGCTGGGTGCATATTCAATTCAAGCCTCCTTAAGCTGTCGGATTTCCCCCACCCATCCACCCTCCCCCGCTTCTCCACCCTCTACACAAAAACAGAAAAGGGAAAAAGCCCAATACCATCAGGGCGTTTGTTGATCAACTTACACTTCGCTTTTGAATATTTAGATATTGCTAGAGGAACAATATCAGCGGAGGCTTAGGTCCGCATTAAGTACCTTTGTTCATCGACTCCTGCAAGCCATGTTTATTAGGATCTACATTTCTCTCGCGCCTCAATAACTAGAGGTGTGTTTTGCGGGAAGGGGGCTTTCAGCACCTTTTGATCTCTCAAGGCCACCGCGACTGACTGCAGGTTCCCACTACTTTCCTATGCTATCCCCCACACTCCAACACCCATCCCAGTTAATCGCTTCTCAATTTGCAACCAAATATACAAAAAGAAACGTGACAAAGCAATCGGTTTGAGGAAATAAGCCAATTAAGCTAAAGCTGAAATGTCTCTCTCTCTCTCTCTCTCTCTCTCTCTCTCTCTTTCTCTCTCCCCCCCTCTCTCTCTTCCCCCTTGACTCCCTCCCTCTCCCTCGCTCCTTTCCTCTCAAGTAGAAAGGGGGAAACACCAAGGAGAGAGAAAAAATCGGCAGGAGGGTGGTAGTCGACTCTTACAATCAATGGAAAAAGAGTATACACATCTTTACTGAATAATACTCTCGTTCTCAGACAAAAAGAAACACATTTTTCGATGTAAACATAGTCTCCCTCTCCCACACATCCTACATTCTTTACATTTGCTGAGATTTGTCTTGCTGTATGGCAAAGTAACTGTCACAAATCCATCTCGATTGAAGTGCTTACCCTCTAAATCCAGGTTTCAAGCGGAACTCCAACTGTGTGTAGAAGCCAGGGAGTCATCTGATGTGCGGTGAGGTAGGCTCTGGGCAGTGGGAGCTGCTTCTTCTCTCCGAGTGCTGGGTTACAGTGTTAACAAGCCCTGGGAAGGGACCTCGGCGCCTCGCGCTGGCTGTGCCCCAGTGCCTTCGCGTGGCGGCTTGCTCACGCTTCCGAGGAGTCCCAGGCGATAGCCTTCAGCTGATGCGAGCTTCCAGAAAGGAGTGGGGAAGGGAAAAAAATCATCTAATGCAATCAAATCGATCTGATCTACACCATCTGTCGCCTGCCACTATACACAAACGTTAAAATAGGAAAACGGAAAATACTGACAGCCGAGAGGGTTGGTCTGCAAAGAGTTCATTTTTAGCAGAGCATAATTGGATATGGTCGGCGTACAGTTACAAAAGCTGCTGTTAACCATCCAGTAGTGGATCCCGAACATGCTAATGGTGGATTAATTGAGGAAGATCTGACGTGCAAGCTTCATAGTCTCTTATTCATGACTTCCCAATGGGAAAGGACCAATGCCTTGTGGGACTATGGTAACATACAGTCAAAAAGCTGCTAAGAAAATGGCTGTGTGTTCACAGCACCTCTCTCTGATAACAAACATATGTCGACTAAAATGGTTTAGTAGAATGGGAGGGAGTGTTGGAGAATAAAATTTTCTTTCCCCGTGTAAGCAATCCCCATTTTCTTTTCTTAAAGAAACGCAAAAATAGATATATCTTTACCATAGTGGGGGGGAAAAGATGTTTTAAAAGGTTTTTATCAAGATCAAACTCTGCCATATAAAATAAATGGAACACCCCTGTGCAGCAATTCTTTTAAAAAAATCTATTATCATTTTTTTTCCTTACTGTGATCAAAGTAGATCCATAGCATGCGCAGTATATAGAAACTCAGTCCAGTTAATCCCACCGGGATTGACTCAAGGTTGTTTAATGTCAGTTGCCCTTTTGACTTCTTGAAATCAGGATGCCTTTTGGGGAAGGCATTTTGTATCATTTAAAATTGACATAATGAACATTAAATATAATTGCAGTGAGGAGATGAGAAGAGTTTTCCTTTCTAATTCTGCAATTACTCTCTCTAGCCAAAACCCCTTTTGGTCTGTTTCCAGTCTTTCCAGATCCGTTGATGGGAAAAGATAAGAATGAGGGAGGGTGTGGAAATACCAAAGGGGAGGGAAAGAGAGTGTGGATTATCAATAGCCAATAAATTATATTCCATTTGTAATAGAAAAAAAATATATAGCAATTAAAGAGATAACTCACTAGTTGTTGATCATGATTCTAAGTTAAAAATTATTGTTTGCTACATGGAAAGAAGACATATTGTAAACAGTGGAATGACTGTCCCCCATCCATTTTTAGTTACAATATTTAAAAATATTGAAACAGAGTTTATTATCTAGATATGTGACAGTCTTTTATTAACTATACATAAAAATTCCATATTTCCACTGATTTCGTCATCCATTTGAACACTGAACACTATGGTCATTTTGATTCTCCTCTCTTTCCTTTGGTAACATACATTACAGAAATTCCATAGTAAACAATTTGTGTTTAGGAAAATTCTAAAGATAAATGTGTCTCCTAAAACTTTGATAATCTGTTTAAGAAAAAAAAAAAAACAAACACCTAACGGTTATGAATTACATTAGACTAAAAATATAGCTTGAAGACAAATCAAACAATTTACCTGATCTTTTGTTTCAATATACATTAATTAAGCACTCTTTCCAACCTACACAACATTCCAGGGTCATAGTCAGAAATTCAAGTCTAATAGTTCAGGAGCCTTTGTTGTCATTCGTGTCAAGCTATTGCCCCCTGCAGGTTAGGCTGAAAGTGCAGGCAGAATTTGGCCAAGTCCTCAGGAAATTGATGGTAGTCAAGTTACTCAGTCTCTCCCAAAATTTAACTAGAGGCAACTTTTTAAGTTTACCTTCACTACAGTTTAAACTATTTATTTATAGGTAGCTAGTACATTCAGAAAAAAATGGTCTTTGAAGACAGATGATTTCAGGTTTTCTTCTGAGACTTTAGCTGCATGGAGTAAATCATCCACTTTGTTGTGATACAAAGAGCATTTTGGTGCACTTAATATAGTTATCTTCATCTTCCCTTATCCTTATTCCACAAGATCCAGAAAAAATAAGTAACATAATTGGAATTATGAATTCTCAATAATAAGTATGTATCGCTGGGCAATTTGATGTCAGTGTGCTCTTAGTAGACTCAATGAAATGCATGCAAATCAAACTGTTTCAGATTCTCCCTGCTCCTGATATGATGAGGTCAATTACACCATTTCTCTTGATTATAAAAAGAAACATTATTTCAACCTTCATATTCCTGCTATAACTATCATCCTTTCCCACACTCAACTTTTCTAAGTAAGGCACCTTGCCAAGATGAAATATATTTATAATTGACTGAAGAGAAATTAAATTACATCAACTCTTTCACAATATTAGAAAGTGGAGCAAGTTTATAGGAATTATTTCAGAAAGTTTATGGAAAGATTATTTTATTCTTTGGAAGTCAACGATGTGGCTATTCACACTGAGTTGTAAGGAAACCAGCAATGGATATTTCCTTATTATATAAATATGCATCTCATTGAGCAGTAGGATATCATTATGGGAAATATAATCAATTCTAACACCAAATTAGCAATCAATAAAAATCTTAGTCAAATTCTAGAAGTATCATTTCAACATTGTATGATAGTAGCTAGAAACATGAACTGCACTTTGTTATCTTAAAGCTATTATGAAGTGACTTAAAAGACAGTGGCAAGACTTGAGTCTTTCTTGAAGAATTTTTTTACCTTAACTACTGATATGTTTTTTAGGTCCTCCAGAATGGACATGTGGAATAGGAACTGGGGATAACTGTGTCATATTTTCAACAATATTAAAAACACAAAATCAAAATAACCAGAATACTTATCCCTGTTTTATTACATTTTTAAAGCTTGTTAAATTTGAAGAGGACACTACATCTATACATTAAGAGCTTTGCATCTACAGTTCATTAACACTCCTGGTCCAAGCAAAGAGGGGATTTGGACTAGGCTGTTAGACTATTAATTGCACAAATATGTTGTGGCCAGAACAGTGACTGGTTGCCTGCAGCAATCATTTCTAGTTGTCTTTGAGTAGGCGTTTTTAAAGAAAAGTCATCTCCCCTTCAAAGTCATGTCTCACATATATATGATTATACATGGTTGTGTGTACTGAAGCACATTGCCATTGAGTCACAAATTTTCAAGTATCTTGATTCAAATGGCTGTCAAATACCTATGAACAGAGTTGCTTTTAATTAGCATCCAGAAAGAGAGATGATATTTGACCTGTGAGTCTTAATCAAGGGGAATATTTTTAGGTTCTCCCATAGACGATGTAGCAGATTGCTTGCAAGTGCCTTCAAAAACATAATCCTTCTTTTCCTCCTACTATCATTACTATTGTTCTAATAGTTTCTAAAGGATCAGAACAGAGTTCTAGAAACCCTGTAATATTGTTATTGCCGGAATCCTGGGTTATTAAACATTCGGATCCGCAGACGCGAAGGACCATCCAATCCTATTCATATGCATCCTGTGACTCAACTCAGTTTCCACTGTGTGTGAGAGAGAGAGAGATAGAGAGAGGAGAGAGAGAGAGAGAGAGAGAGAGAGAGAGAGAGAAGAGAGAAAGAATTCGAGTTCATTCTGAAAGCGCTTATGTTTCCAGAGGTTTTCAAATGCAAATGGAGTGGGAGTGGTGGTGGCCGTTCTGGAGTGTACTGTGTGGGTGTGGAGGGATTTGGGGAGAGGGTGTCGTGGGCACTAAGTTTAAACAAATTCAAGGCCATTACCACCACTGCAGACCAAAATAACTTAGGTCTGAGAGACCCCTTAGAAAGATACAATGCCTTCCTCATCTAAAGAGAGGCAAGCTAAAACCAGAGCGATCTCAGCGCTCGCGCAGTTTTGAGACAGGGTCTCGAAGACCGCCAGAGCCCAGGTGTCGCGGGCGGGCCCGGGTCTAAACTCTCGTCTGGCGAAGTGAAGAGCGCAAATTCCCAGGCCCAGCGCGCCTTCGCGGGACAGGCCGGCCGCCCTGGCCCCGGGCCGGGCTCGCTCTGCTCTGAAGCCCCGGAGCGGGCGAGGAGCACGGTTCTGGCCACAGGAAGTCTAGTTTCAGCAGCCGCAGGCCGCCAGCGCTGGCTCAGACCTGGGCCTCCTCTGGAAGAGTAGAGTAGCGAAAAATCAACCACCACCTTGGATTTCAGACCGAAGAAAGGAAGCAAAAGCAAAGGTGTGGTTACACAGGACTTCCACAGAGAAACCGTTGCCTCTCCTAAGGGGGCCCGCGCTTGGCGGCTGCAGAAGCGCGAGGCGCGGTGGGTGCAGGCGCGGGGGCGTGGGAGTCGCCACTCTCCCCTCAGCCCGGCCGTGCGCTCTGCGATCCTCCCGAGTCCCGGCCAGCGGCCTCGGCTCGCCCCCTAACGCCCTCGTGAGGACGGCTGCCGTCGGGCCCACGGCGCCCTGGGTTGGAGGCCGGGGCGAGACGGCCCCGCGGGACTCTGGAGCCTTGGTAACGCAGAGGCTCGACAGGTTCACGAAAACGCCCGGCTCCTCCAGGATTTATCGTGTCTTAAGCAGCTCCGAGAAGGCTCCGCTGGCGCTTGGGGAACCCCGCTGTGCGGCTCCCCCCTGTTGGTCTCTCTCAAGCTCTCGCCTTCCTGCCCGGGTCCTCTCTCCACTCTCCTGCCCTGCCGGAGTCCCGGGCCGCACGGGCTGAGCCCAACGCGCCCGAAGAAGAGCGCCGGAGCCCCCTGCTGGCCGGACGCGGCAGGCGCGGCGGCCCGCTAGGTCCCCTCCGCCCCGCGGGCGCTGCCCAGCCCGGACCCGCCTCCACCCTCCAGCGCCCCAGCGCAGGGGGCGTGCTAAAAGCAACAGAAAACAAAACAAAAACAAACAAAGCGCCAAACCCCACTCTCACCTCGTCTACTGGTCAAAGGTAAGTGTGAGTTCAGCCTCTCCCTCGTCCGTCTCTGACCCTTCACTGATTCTCTGGGCTGAGGTCTGAAGGAGCCATTGGGGGCCCCTCTGGAAAGGAAATTATGGCTGCTTTTGAAAACATGTTTTCTAAGCATCAAAATCAATCTCTCTTTCTCTCTCTCTCTCTCACTCACACACATACACACACACACCCTTCAACCAAACCCACACTTGCCAGTCTGGAAAGGTACTACTGATGTACATGTCTCTGGAAGCGTTTTATTAGCTATTGGAGGAAATGTTCACTAATATTTTAGGTTGTAAGTAAGCAGCAATAATTATTCCGTGAATTGGGGAGAGGGAGGTAAAGACAGATTCCTCTTAATTTAACCCTTCCTCCCATATCTGAGTGCGAATCCTACTTTCAGCACCAAGTCCTAGCATGAGCCGAAAAGTTTTCATTCTTATACTGAGAAGGAGAGAGAGAGAGAGTCGTCCATTTCTGGGAGGTTTCCTGTGCTCCCACCCCTCACTA